ATATATGTATAAATAATATTCTAAAAGTAAGTGCTATTTTTAAATTTTAAAAGTAACATTTTATTCAACGTGATTTTTCTCGATACATTTTAAACGTTTATCTACTTTAAACTTAATTTTGTTCTATTCAGCGATAGCGTTATCCGGAAAGATGTAGTTTCTCAAACGTACTTGCAGGAGCATACTTTGCAGTTATTATAACATTCGAACATTATTTAACTTTATACGAAGTTTCTGCCCTAAGTTCAGAATTTGTAGGAGAGTGGTAGGTTTATTTGACTGTCGCCCGAGTTAATCATAAATATCGAACACCTTATTTCTGTATGATTTTTGAAAAGGTAAAGTTTGTTAAACATTTTTCTAAATCGTCCATAGAAAGGCTTCGGTGTTTGTTACAACAGTTAAAATTCGTTTAGAATTAGTAAGAAACGACACTTTTGTTAGAGAACCGACGTGAGTTTTCACAATTAAATATCTTAGAACCTAAAGAACCGACGTGAGTTTTCACAATTAAATATCTGAGAATCTAGAGAACCGACGTGAGTTTTCACAATTAAATATCTGAGAACCTAGAGAACCGATGTGAGTTTTCACAATTAAATATCTGAGAATCTAGAGAACCGACGTGAGTTTTCACAATTAAATATCTGAAAGTCTAGAGAACCGACATGAGTTTTCACAATTAGATATCTGATAATCTAGAGAACCGACGTGAGTTTTCACAATTAAATATCTGAGAATCTAGAGAACCGACTGAGTTTTCACAATTAAATATCTGAGAATCTAGAGAACCGACGTGAGTTTTCACAATTAAATATCTGAGAATCTAGAGAACCGACGTGAGTTTTCACAATTAGATATCTGAGAATCTAGAGAACCGACATGAGTTTTCACAATTAGATATCTGAGAATCTAGACAACAGACAACAGATACTGAATATAAAAATAGCTATTGCTTAATCTGGCCACATTTTCTATTTGCTTAAAATCATATAAAAGTGTATATAAGGTTATTTTTTTTATCAGTACGTTAAATCGTCTTTTATCCTTAAAATTATGATCAAAGGCCAAACTTTATACTCATTATATAACTACTGTAAAAGTTATATTTCAGTTTTTATAGTGTTGTTAGACTATTCCTAACATATTATATCTTCTATAATATTTTAATAACTAAACCTTTCATGTACGATTAGTTAAAAAATAGCAATAATAATTTAATTGTTTTTCCCAACTCACTTATTATTAGACTTTAATAAAAGAAACCGACGGTCTTTCACCAGAACATTTTCTATAAATTTCACGTGTAATGTATTTTGTATTCTAATACAAAATACTCCTTGTACATTTATAAAGAAAGTAGATAATATGAATGATCCTTTGTGTATTTTTTGTAAAAAAAGAAAAGCAGTGATTTACTAAAGGTTAACATAGACCGCTTTATCACAGTTACACATGTTGCAGTTTTACTGTCACAAAATTCTCATATTCCTCCACTGCATTCAGGCTAATTTAAACTAAAACATGTTTGTGTTCATAAGAGGTTATTAGAAACCTTTCTACGCTAAAAAGAATACAGAAATGTGATATTTGATGTTTTCCATTATTGCACACGATTTATGCATTATGATATATTTTTTCCCACTCAGCTAGAATTTATGTTGACTCAAAGCCTTTCCTTAATAATAATGCACCATGAATTTACACATGAAACAGTCAATGCAAGAAGTTGGACAGAAATTGAATTTTAGGGTACTTGGTGGCTTCAAAAAGACCAGAGCTCTTAACGTTAAAGAACGGTCAAGAGGACTAAAGACAGAAATAGACACTTGTTGCATTTAAAGTAAATCAAGAATAAGATATTTCTGCCCTTTCCATTAATAAAGATAAAGAAACTTCTACGAAACGTTGTTATTTTTACACTGGAAAAGTATATGTTGTTCTATATGCTATTTGTCCACAGCGACGAGTCGAGTCCAGGATTTTAGCATTGTGAGACCGTAAAATCAGCGGTAGACTCTGTAAAATCTATGGTATTGGTTAGTTCATCGCACAATTGACATATACAGATAAGCAAACATATTTGATTTTTCAAAAATAAAATATCGTTATTTAATTTGATCTTCATCCTAGAGAAATTATTTTTTCCAACGATGAGATTAAACTACAAAGGAAACGTTAAGGAAAAGAAAAAACTAAGTTGTAATAATATCTTTGTTCCAAACAATGTATATATAATTACAAAGCGAGAAAAATTGCAATAACGTGTTTTTTCAAAATTTACAAAATGAAAAAAGGAGTTTGTATTTTCTATGCTCTTAAACACTCTGCACTGGAAAATAGGAGAGAATGGCATTGTTACCTAAAATAAAACCTTTAACATTAGAAAATTATCTTGTGAATATCGTCAGTTGGAAACACTTTGTTATTGATTGTTAAGTTCGATTTTCCATCTGTTCAATCGATAAAATCGTAATGTTAATAATTTACTCTTAAGAACATTCTCCACTGGAAAGTTTCTTAATGATATTTAGGTATCTTTTTAATTTTGTGACTTTAATTTAATTCTTTTGTTGTTAAGGATCTTTTTTTTTCATCTACAAATGCTTGACTCTTCATACTTTGAACTAGGTATGGGACAAATAGGAATTCGTTCAGGTATCGGTTCCCGTTGCTGTCGCTACTACTGCCACGATTACCCGTGACATACGTCACAACTAGTGGGCGTGACGATTATTTACACTACATGATGAATGTTTGTATTACGATAACTAGAACTCTCATTCTGTAATGCGTTTAATATTTTGCTTAGAAGCTAATAGAAAGCACAAGTGGGCTGGATGACACAATACCTGTTATGAGTGACGCAAATGTAAGTGGCATGATGCTTGCGTAATATTGTGGGATAATCAAATGATGAAAATGCTGTCAGATAACCCTACACAAAAGTAATTTCCTATTGGATCGGATTCCCTAGGATAGTGTAATATCCGATCGAATCGGCCATTTTCCCCAACCGTAGTTAGTATTGTAATTACTTTTATAACTAATGAAATTCGATTTTTCATAAAACATAAGATAGAATTATATTTGGTTCATGAACGAAATCTTAACGTTTTCTTATACATGAACCTTATTAAGTTAAGCTTATATCATATTTAATTACAAAAGCACCGAGAAACGATAGCAGCACCTTCTAGCGAATGTAAAACCAAAAGAACCTACTGCTTTATAAATCCGTAAACTTACTCCTGGCTCACCGGTATACTTCACCGCATAATTTCTACTACACACATGCAAACAAATTCGATTTTTCAAAAATCTTACAATAAAAAAATCCCGTTTTGAATTTGATCTTCGTGCCCTACAGACCTTTTTCTAAAGATACATACGATATATATGTATTGAAACCTGATTGTAGCGTTATAAGCCCTCAGACTTACCCCTGAGTCACCGGGTTGTATATTGTATGAGTGACAGTGAATCCCATTAAACGCTTCAAATACAAAGTAGCTGGATCAATAGGCTTCTGGTTTTAATAACCAAACATAATGATGAAAAAATTTATTTCATTCTGATATAAAACGTCTTTCACAGGAAATATTAATGAGTAACAACAACACCCATTACTTTAGCAGCAGAGCATCAGCGAAAAGGCTAGAGGCATAATTAACATGTAATATTTAGCGACTGAAATTTATCGATCCACCATAAAGTATATAAGATGCTTAGACTATTTTTCATTTCACCTTAAAAGCCAATTTTTTGAAATATTTTCATGATATAATCTCAGAGGCCTGGCATGGCCTGATGATTATAGCGATAGACTCGTAATCTGCAAGTTGCTGGTTCCAATCCTATCAGCGAACATGTTTGTCCTTTCAGCTATGGGGGCGTTATAATGTGACGGCCAATCCCACTCTTCGTTGGTAAAAGAGTAGCCCAAGAGTTGGCAGTGGGTGATCTTGACTGGCTGCCTTCCCTCTAGTTTATAACTGCTAAATTAGGGACTGCTAGTACAGACAGCTCTCGTGTAGTTTTGCGTGAAATTCTAAACATACCAAATCAATCAATATATGTTGCTTCTATTATATGACACAACAAGATCACAGTTAAAGCTTTTCTTAAGAGGTAAATACTAATTTCCCACGCTTCGCTACTTCAAATAGATCAAACGTTCAACATAATAGATATTTCTTCATTATCAGCAATCATGGGTTTCATGAATGAAACTAGATACAATTATTTGTTTTTTTATTGGATATTTATTGTTGTACATATATCGTGTTTTTGCACGGAAATTACAGCTCCACTCAATTTATTTTGCTATCAATCAAACCAATATTATTCATAAACGGCTAGTTTACACTTAATAATATTCTCATCAATAACTTAACATATCACCCGACAACTGCTTCTAAATACAGTCTTTCAAACATTATAATAGAAAAGCTCCGAAAACTTTCAGCTCATTATTTTAATTCTGCTATTTTTTGTCATACTTTCAATCAAATGCAACATTGTCGATATATATCGGAATAAATGGCTCATGAAAACCTCTTGAGATCAAGACCCATTTTCGTGCTTCTTCAGGTGTTTTTACTGGCTGGATTTTCAATACTCTATTAACAGTCAACTTGAATATCAAAAGATTATTACTACTCCTTCGATTCAAATACTGGGCTTCATAGTGAATTCGATGTTGGTTATGCGTGAGTCACCGGAGATGCAATAGCAAGTCTGTTAAGTCAACCTGATGACCATAGTTTCTAAGATATATCTGATGCTAATTACGTTTCTACGCCTCAGACTAGCCTCACCTCAATCCTCTAAGCACTATGCATATCTGAAATTGTAGAATACATTACTTCTAATAAAATACGCAAGAGTAGTTAAAATAGACATAATAGACATCAATGAATATTTGCTTTCGGTGGCCAAAGTTATGTGCTCAAATGTTAACTAATTAAGCCAATATATAATGTATACGATAAACTTACCAATTATTTTGATGACGTCACAGATGTGTGCGCATCTCAGGTGTCTTTTCCAGTGACGGTAAAATCATTTCACAAAACAACGTCCTTAGGCAAATTGATTTGGCTCTAGTTCATTAATAACAATTAAAATAAAAGATAAACGGTAGTAGTCAAATAATTCGTTACTATATTTAATTATGCTGAAAAATTAACGTATATTTTATATTATCATACAGTTAAATAAACTAAGCTATTCGAACATACTAGATAGAAATCGTGCTTCTTTCAAGGTTAAATATTGACTGAAAACTAAACTCAAGAAAATTTCCTTTCATAATAAAACACTTTGAAAATAGAATATATATATATATTTATTTATTTATAAAAAATACCAAAACAAATACTTCAATTATCGTTTACATTACTAGAAAAATCCGACACGTGAACTTCCTTGAAAAATCTTAGTTGAATAAATGATAGATTAATGTCAAAATAAAAGAATGATATATAGCGTTCATACGAAGTGTAACTTTTGCTTGTACACAAACTAAAATATATAAGTACCTTAGAAAAGATTATTAATACTGTCTGTAGGGTTGGTCTCCTAATAATTATATTTGTAATCGTCTCATTATTTTATTTCATTCAGAAAAATTGTTGATTAAATAAAGGTATTCACACACATATTAACACGCACAATATCATACAATTTTCTGGAAGTTATGAAACATTCCGCAATCAACCCGTGTGCCAATAAGTCGAAGCAGGGCGTAGCTAAGAGATTAGCATGCTTGGATGCGTTCGGAATGTACAAGGTTCGCTCCTCGATACCACTGATCGTGCGCCGCAATTTCAGCTGTGAATGTGATTTATTTGTTTTTTTTTTGTTGTTGAAAACAAAGCTTCAGAATGGAAATATATCTGTGACATGCCCACCGAGGGTATCGAAAACAGATTTATAATGTTATTAGCCCTCAGGCGTACCGCTGAGCCACCTGGAGTGTGTATTGTATGAGTAACAGTTATTTGCTCTAAAAACGGACAAAGATCTGATGTTAAGGACGGTTATGCCAGAAACCTAGGAGTCTCTGAGCTGGCGTAACAAATGTACGCATAAGATGTCATTTAGGTTGAAAATACCATATACCCATAAATTATTTCGCATACAGTATATCTTGCATTTGTTCCAATTCATTTTACTCAAATGATTTAGTTATTACATTGGTTTAGAACTGATTTATCACTAAAAATTTGTTTGAGTAATCAAGGGACTGTATATGATATTTTCAATCTGAACGTTATCTTACGTGGTAAATAAGCTAAACGGTTAAGGTAGATTAGAAACCTCAAGATCCAGTCGTAGCAGTCACTAATTCAGAGCTCTTGGCCAGAGGGTAGGCCAACAGTAAGCAGTACTCGCCGTCCACACGAATACATAAACCAAATAGCTTTTGAAAAGCACCCACAGTTTATATGGCGGAATATGATCATTAGCATATCGCGGGCTTGAACCTTAGAACTTCTGATCCGTAGTCTACTACATTAATCACCAGGCCACACCTGACTTCTAATGGAAGATTTAACTTCAATAACTATAACATACTTCAGTTTCTGAACCTCGATATATTTCAAAGAAGATTAATTTGTGTCTTGTGCAACTGATAAAACCTAAATTTCGTTGTAGAATATTACAATTTAAAAAAAAATAAAAGTAGAAAAAGTCTTATTGATTCTTCCTGAAAAAACATGTGACTACAAATGACTTCATAATTAACATATGTAAATAAAGTCAATTGTTATAATTTAAATGTAAGACCTCTCATGTAAGAAGACAAGTAAACCTGATGCTGCTCAGTAATGGTTGTGAATATGTTACCGTTTACGACAACACACATACAAGTAGTTTAGTTCTTTTTAAATTAGACAAATATTAGAATAAAACCATAACTTTTATTAACTGCCGAACGTTAAATCCTCGTAGAAGGTTATCGTCTAGCTAGAAAACCAAAGAGAAAATATGTAGATGGAAAAACATCACATCAAACATGAGCAAAGAAAATGTCAAATTTTTGGGTGTATGAACATAAACTTAATTAGTTCGATTATATAATAATGATCAATGTACTGTATTAATCTTCTATTTAATATTAATGATCCCAAATAAAACAAAACTTTTACGATTCACCCAAACCAGTTTACTGTTAGAAATATTAAAACTGGGACCATAACACAATAGAATAGTTATTGCATTTGCAAATGCACTATCCTATTTACCCCTTTGTTTTGATGTCTAATTTTTGAAAAAAAGTTTTATATAGGGAAGTAATAAGAAGAGAAGCCAGTCAGTCAGAAGAGAAAGCAACAGTTTCCTTCTTGTTATTTTGTTTCTCAGCTAAAGACATGCGATCACATATGAAATTGACCCTCTGTAAGAGTTCAGGCTCAGCCACATATGTAAAGAGTGTTAAAGTGACAAGATGGAGTATTGATAAGGGAACGTTGTATCAGAAATACAAAGAAACCACATTGTCCCTTAACTCATAGCTTCGTAAGATGGAAACTTAACGAACTAGTTTCTGATTTATTATTTTGTTTCAAAAAGGAAGGAATAAAAGCAAAAGTTAATTTTCTGTATAGAAATAGCAAAAACATACACCAGAAGAAAAAGTACAGTTTTGATATAAAGTATAGTAAGAAAATCACACTTTTAACTGTAACTGTACCTTTCACTGTAACAGGAAAACTCATACATTTGAAAATAGAGTTTAGCAGTAAAATTATATTTCTCGCTGGAAAGTGAAAATAAAAAGAATATACTTTTCTTTTAAGTGTCTCCTCTTATTTTACCTTACTGTAATTCAACGGATTCAGGTAGCGTGAAACACTAGAAGAAAAACATTATGCGTTTCTTGTACTGAATTATACACGATATTCTTCAAGAAAAGTGTGAATACACGATTATTTTCTTTTCTGCTTGCTAGTTCAAAATATTTCCTCTAAAGATATTGTGCTTGTGTAGGAAATAAAGGCGTGTTAACGACATAAATTATTTTTTCTCTTAGATTTTCTTTTAGATATAGATTTGAGTAGCTTAGTTTGAAGACATGAATAGTCATCGTTTATTCATATTAGTGTTTCAATGGTCTACATGTAAAGACTTCAGATCACCAATAAGTTTTCAAAATGCTTTTTCCAAGCTAACCCGTGTAATATTCGGCTGTTTGTGTATTTTGTTGATATATAAATAGATTAATACATAAACGAATACATAAAACACACATATATACATAAATGTGCTACATTGAAATACAAATTTAAGTTAACAACGAAACTAAACAAGTAGTTTTTAAAAATAAATTACGTCTACAATCTTTGCACTTGAAACGCCTACTTCACAAACATATCCAGTGAAGAACTAATAGAAAGTAGTTTGTTGAAGATACTGATAAATGATTAATTTAAATCAGAATTATTCCTCAATATTTCTGAAAGTTAAATGTTTTTTAATTAGATTAGATTTTGAAAACAAAAACACAATTAGTAATACCTTAGTATTTTTTGTTTAGATTATCAACCATGCAAAGTTTGCAAGTGATTATAAGGTACGTTACTTCCACTTATTTAACTCAAGAATTCAACTGATTAAATTTATACTAATTAAGCTCTTTATCTCAAGCTGATATCATTACATGTATATAGAGCTTGATATCATACAGATGGGTATTATTGAGAAGCACACGACTGTTACGTTTAGTTAAATATTCTATTACAATTTAGTTGTGCTAGTTAAATTATCTGAAAAGTGTCATCAATAGTTTATGGAAAGGTCAATAAGTTTACGAACTATATAAATCTAAACATGTGATATACACACACACACAAATACACTTATTCAAAAATGCAGGGTCTACGTTACTAAAAGGTAGTAACATACAGACCTAACGGTTTAGTAATATTAATCATTATGAGTTCATAACTCTAATAATAGAAATGTCGCCTCAGATCCTCAGTGCTTCGAGATTTGATTTTTATAATTGTTAAAGTTAGAAATTAATGAGCTTTTAAAATGTATTGTTATCTTACATCACGAGTGAATTTAACTGTGAAGTTTGACTTTCATAGACGCGTAGATGATTGTATAACGATGTCTTCTTTGTAAATGGTAATTTTACTTCTAAATTTGGTTCTTATTTGATAAAAATAAAACAATACTTATTTAATGAAACATAAAGACTGATGCTACGAACAGACTGGAAAGATCTACATCTGTCAATATCTTGTAGGCGTTTGAATGATTAAAAATATGCAACAAAAGTTTGAAAAACAAACAAACAACACAAAAACTATAGGTTGGTTTGATAGATTGTTTAGGCAGAGTATTCATGATGAAACTAAGTTGAATTGACGGCAACTGCCTGTTGTAGAAACACAAGTGTAAAAGACGACGTTTCGAAAGTCTTCCGCCTTTCGTCGTCCTCTACACTTGTATTTCTACAACAGGCAGTTGCCGTCAATTCAACTTAGTTTCATCAACTTGAATATCAAGTGTTCAAGATTGATAAACCATACACACCGCAACCATTATAGATAATAATAATTTATCTAGACTCTGTTAGAAAACAGTACAATTTACAAGAATGTATGTGATTTCACTTCATATGAACGTTTCTTATATGAATCGTAATTAAACATGTTTCGACCTTCAGATAATAACATGCATTTATTTAGTACTTATTATGTTTTACAGATTTTCATCACGCTACCTCTTGTAACTTGTAATGAAGGACTTTACACTGATTAACTCTTCCATGTCAACAGTATTCTAAGATCTATTATATTGCGTACGTAACTTACAGTTCTAAGGTTCTAAATAATATTTAGTTTCCCTTACACAAACAGTATAAAGATTTAATTACTATAAAACTTGGACATTATTCTTTGTATTTGTCATTATTTCCTCGAATAGAGGGATTTAAACAATAACCCTGATAACATTAAAACTTACCCTGTACTAAAACAAAAATTACCATTCCAAAGAAACCCTGAATAAAAAATACGATTTAGATTTTCCAGCTAATATTATCTTTTTCGAACAGCTAACATTTTCATATTAAGATAATTAAATTATTGTTGTGATTTTTTTATTAAAACCAAATATATTCTCTTCAGTACACATTTAAATATGTCTATATGAAATAAATTGTTATCAATACATCTATTATATTAATTTAAGTACATTATACTTCACAGGTATGTATCTCTTAGTACATATATTTCTTATGGTATGAAATTAGCTTATGAAATGATAACTCATATCTGCTGAATATTTACATTAAAAAATTAAATAAAACTTGTTTACAACTTAGTTAACTTGTTAGCATTACTTTTAGAGTCATTCAATATTTCTATTACATGAAAGGAATAATGATGAACATCGAAAATATGGATTATTTAATTTTTGGACTTATACGATGTAAGTGGAACTGATCACTACCAATAATTCGCTTTCAATTGTGATTCAACCCTTTGTATAGTGTGATTGTAGTGTTACTTGGCTGTAATAAGTGATCAATAATTACAACGTCACATAAAAACATAAAATCAAGGAAAGGAAATGAAACATTAATCAAATATACCAAGTTCTGTGAAATGGAAGTGTATTTGTTGTTCAGGTAATATCTGATTCACTTTTTTATAACAAACAATTTAGTTTTAATTTTCAAGAATTAAGTTAGTTTTGACTAGAGTTATCATTATGTACTGCTTTTGGTAAACATTAAATATAAATATTACCATTTTTTGAACTTATGGAAATGTTAATGATGACCCCTAATAAATCTTACCTGTTACGTTCAAAAAAGGCATGACCAGTATAGAAAGTATATAAATAAGGCATAACAGCATCCAGGTTTACACGTGAGTAGCATCAGTCAGAATGAAGAACACCGCTCTTTGTTCGTTAACTAGAACGCTATGCGTATCAGCCCACCACCAGGGGTAGACTGCCACATATTTCAGCAAACGTTCGCGCAACTTACTCTGTCTATAATGAGTTTATTGATCAGCGGGGCCTGTATTACAAGCAAGACATACGTCAATATATCATGGTAGAGTCTACTGTTGTTCAGAGGAGGGTTAAGTAAAAAAAATCAAGAAAATGGGTAGTTAAAACAACATAGGAACAAATAACTTTCATGCTATGTAGAAGAGTGTAGATATAATACGTACGTAAAACTCTGGTAACTTCGGTATATTTTGCTTTAAGACTGTGTGCAGTAAGGTGCAGAGAAAATTGAAAGGGAAGGGCTCATTAACAGAAATAGCCTACTTTTTGAGTATCGTAAAGCAAGCCTTTTTTTGAGGGGGAGAAGGGTTAGAGAAGACTATAGGGACTGTAGGTTGCTTCTGGTATACATAGCGTAAAACCTTTGATGCAAAGAGATCCTCTTCTATTTTTATTCAATTGGTCTTGTAAACATTTGTATGATCTAAAAAATAAACATAGACCAGTAAAAATTTACATAAAAATGGGAAAACCCGGACATTTTTGATAACAGCCAAATTTTGGGGCCAAAAGCTTCTCATAAGTATATCAGTAACTCGCAAACAATTCAACCAAAATCAACCTTGAGGAAATTTGATTTTTCAGAATTTATAATGATGCCCCCATATAAAATGATGGACGCATAATTTAAACAGTTTGTTCATAACTTCAAAGTTCTTGGAGATAATGAGTGCTATCTTGCTTCTCATCTCAGTTGAAACATTTTGCATCTCTTTTGTAAATTTTGTAGTTCATCAGCATGTCACTGGGCCTCCATTATATGTTGTTTTTGACAGCTACATGACAAAAACTACCAGAGATCTAGAACAATATCGGAGAAAAGTTAAGAAATATTATTTTCCCGGGACTGTTGTGGACAACCAAACGCCACTTCCAGAGAAGCTTTTTTGTCGAATGAGCGAACAAAAGCAAGGATTAATAGATTTGCTTTCTGTTTATCTTCAAAAAGCTGGTATTGGTGTGAGACACGATGGAGATAAAGGTGACACGCTGTTCTTATTATCAGGACAGCCCTTGAATGTGAAATGTCTCACAACGCAGTGCTCTTCGTTGCTGATGATACAGGCATATTTGTTCTCCTGCTTTATCATGCGAAGTATTCGTCACGAGTTTTTATGGAAACCAAGCATAGTACCTTGTCTGTCCAAACAGCAAAATGAGTCCTTGGTCGAGAACTTTGTCTCTCTCTCTTGTTTGCTCATGCCATCTTTGCGTCTGCGATATTTGGTGTTGGTGAAATCAAAATCATGAAGGCTTTGCAGGCATCTCAGCAGTGTAGGTCAGATGTTCTGATTGTTGGTGACACAGCTGTAAATATCAAGGATGTGACTAGCATTTGGGAGAATTTTGTAAAGCATGTAGGTTGGAAGAGATGTCGTTCTTTCCCTCGATGTTGTGTCGTCCAAGTATGTGTCCTTAGAGTGTGTAACACCCACAAGCTGGGCTTGTTACTTTCTTTCCCTACGAGTTCACTTGCAACTTAGCACTAAGCCACAGTTTAGGACAGTGCTCAATTACCATGAGCATGGATTCAAGGAATAGAATGACATTATGTCTTCTATTACTACAGGTCAAGCAACAGCACCCCGTCCCCTTCTCCAATCCGCACGATGTGCTTGTAAGAGTGGCAACCATCTAGGTAAAGAGTTTGTTGTTCAAAGAAAGGACTCCCATACAGCATTCATTGCAAGTGTGGAGCGCAGTGTGAGAACAAAAATAACATTTCTGTAGCAATAGAGGAAAATTTAGAAGATTAATAAAAGTAAAATCTTGTGATGTATATATGTATATAGCCTAATTACTATTGCTACTGCATGACTGGATGTTAAAAAACGCAGTAGATAACTTCTTAAAAGAAAATTGATGGAATAAATATTCTTGTTCAGTTGTACATGTTTCTTGGCTAGCCTCTATTCTTTATCACGACATTTTCGAAATGTTTAGAAAATCCCTATTTCCCTATTTTGGCTGTTATCGAAAACGTCCAGCTCATGTCAATTTTTTATTGGCGTAACGATGAAGTGTTGCGTATTAACAATTAATAGCATATTAAAATTATTATTTTTTATTATAAAATCTGCAACTCCGTGTGTGCTATTAGTTTTAATGCTCAAATCTTTTATTCCTTATAACTCGCAGTTAATCAAAAGATGTGGAATCAAAAGCATCTTTGTGCGCGTCACTGACTGTGTGTCATTAACAGTAGAAGATACTGAAAATGATGAATAATTGTCAGTCTATTCGTGCTAAATATTTAATATGTGTCCCATAGAGTAAGAAATAATTAAATACTAATATGTATTAGAAATTACGAACCTTTCATGAAAATATATTTGTTTGGTTCTTATAAAGTGAAATCATAGAATTGTAGCAACAATAATTATTGACAGAATTTAGTAAAATAGAAAATATAAATAGATAGCATGTGAGGAATTACATATAAACACAACTTATTATCTTTGTATTATAATAAGAAAATATATCAGAAATAAAATAAAACAATCACTAGAAATATTACAGACTTGTGCATTTTGTTCTTAAAAGGATTTTTAAACACTATTAAAACAAAAGAGAAAACTTTTTCATAAGCTTTGTGCTGTGTGTTCATTAACTAAACTAGTATATGAACTTTACTTTTAAACATCTTTCTTAAAAACTCTTTGAGTATATTCTAAAAAGACCTATTAATCGTTGTTTTCAGTCATTAAACTATTGGAAATTATAATATAAAGTAATAAAGAATGGTATTAAAGTTTAAGTAGAAATAAGATACTAAAAGGTAAAGATATAATAATATGAAGGTAATGCAATTAACATAATAGGGCATGAACTCTAGAAAATGATACCACAGAATAAGTTATTGTGTTGTATTGAAACAAGTCCGTTAAAGAGAGCCTCATTTCATTTCTGAGATTACTGACATTTTTATAGGAACCTTTAGCTAGGCTCATCCTTTTTATGGGCTATTTCTTGCTTATTTGACCTGGAATTTCATAAGAATAATTTCACTCTTGTAACAATTTCCTATCCTTCTTTAAGACATCCATGGATGCCAAAGTTTCACCGTGGTAAAACAAGAGTAGTTGTTCTAAGTTACATCTAACATTTCTTTGTATACCATATCGAACAGTTTTTTTCATCAATTAGCACTTTACGTAGATTTAGAGTAACAACCTTAAGTTGGGAAAGCAGGAAGAATTATTAACATAACAATGATAATAAAAATAACATTTGACTTTTACTGTCGTTATGTTTAGGCTGACTGGTGAGTTCTAGTTTTTATGAAATACTTCCTGCGTTATGGTAGAATACAAATTGATCTGAAATGCTCTTTTTATGTCCTTTTGAATTGTATTCCGTAATGACATAATATAGAGAAGGGTTACACATAAAAGAAAAACGTAGACAGAGATGGTTTCAAGCATATCTGGTTATCATGTATTTGAAAAACTGCAACATGCTTTTCAGAAATGATTTAAGTTTCTCATAACATGAAATGATTTATCAATTATGATTTATAAATTATCTCTCTTATTTCTGAACACAACTTGTCGGAAAGATGCATGAAGTGACAACTTCAAATTATATTTAAATGTTTCATTGTACGATAGACTTATGTAAGAATATAACTGAATGATTCTAGTCTTACGTGTTACATTATATACTTGATTAATGAAATTCTAAACAAAAAACATCATTTGTGTCTTCTAGTCTCGAATGTTATACTTGAAAGATTTTTGAAAACAATAATACAAAGTATTCCTTCTTACAAAGAATTTGGAAAAGTGTGGTAATAGTAATACAGATAAACTCTTGATGTTCGTCTAATTTTGGTGAAAAGGCAAATCTTCGGAGTAGTAAATCAAAATATACAGAACAGTCTTGGCCAAAATGTATGCCTATTATTCTACATTGATGTCATTGTCTACATGCATGGAGTAGTTGTATGCCTACTGTTCTACATTGATGTCATTGTCTACATGCATGGAGTAGTTGTATGCCTACTGTTCTACATTGATGTCATTGTCTACATGCATGTAGTAGTTGTATGCCTACTGTTCTACAATGATGTCATTGTCTACATGCATGGAGTAGTTGTATGCCTACTATTCTACATTGATGTCATTGTCTACATGCATGTAGTAGTTGTATGCCTACTGTTCTACATTGATGTCATTGTCTACATGCATGGAGTAGTTGTATGCCTACTGTTCTACATTGATGTCATTGTCTACATGCATGGAGTAGTTGTATGCCTACTGTTCTACATTGATGTCATTGTCTACAATCATGGACTAAATGCTGATTAGTAACAGAGAAGGTAGCATATAATCGGACAGACATGTACGAGTTGTTATTCTGATCTGCATAACTAGTTTCGAGCATTTGTTCTTCAAAACACACCTGTTTTGTATAAAAGGAAACGTTGTTCCAGGAAAATCTACTAGTAGACGCAGAAAAAATACTCCTCGAGATGAGCATGTTTTGTTCAGGTTAACAAGTTAAGGCCGAAAGACTTTTCAACTTATAGTTGAGACACTGGCAACATGTCATCTTTTCAGATGAGTCCTATTGCCGGTTTGTTGAAGCTGGTGGTAGGATTCGTGTTCGTCGTTTGTCTGGAGAACACATGAGGGAAGATTGTCTTTCCCACAGGGGATTCCAGGATGACAGTGTAAATGCCATCAATGCGCGTATTGTACAGGATTATCTCAAACAGGAGGACGTTACAGGACTGCCATGGTCAGCAAAGTTTCCAAATTGTAATTCCATTGAGAACTGTTAGGCAGAACTAAGCTGGAAAATTGCTAAGCACAACCTTAAATTAGCTACTGCAGCTGATTTGCAGCACCTTCTAGTTACAAGTTGGGATGAAATCACGGAAGACAGTATACCACTTCGCCTTGCGGAGGTTATTGGAATACAAAATTAAGGAGGAATAACCAAGCACTGAATA